AGTAGCAAGATTTTCATATTTTTAATACAAGTAAGTGTTATGAAAAATTCGATATCTACGATTCGTCTTCTATTTTTTTCCTCTTTACCTTTCTCTTTCTTTCTCTCTCTCTCTCTCTCTCACTCTCTCTCTCTCTCTCTCTCTCTCTCTCTCTCTCTCTCTGTCTCTTGCTCTTCCTCTTTCTCTTTCTTTCTATGTTTTACTGCGATACTCTACGATCGACGATGTACAGTATTTATGAAGCAATAAATCGTACGAGTAGAAATCATTGGCAACGTTCTTGCGTAAGACGATTATCGTCGCTCGTTGAAAACGATTTTACGTTTCGCTCCACCGAAATCAATCGATTGCATTTCTACATGTATATATTATATATAGTATGTACTTTTGTTTTCTCTTTCTCTCTCTCTCTCTCTCTCTCTCTCTTTCTCTTTTTCTGAATCTAATAATACGTTCTTTAGAATTAATAATTAATCTTACGATTAACGGCGTGCTAATGCAGAAAACTTGAAAACCGATTCCAAATTTAATTACGTTGGTCCGCTCGATTAGCTCGATTTCAAAGTAATTTTGTGGAAAGAAGAAGTGATCTTTTTTGCGGGCCACCTTGTCGGCGATGAGTAAAAAGCGAATGAGCGAACTGAGTTCGTCGACCGACTGGCGCGACGTTGATGATCATACTTGACCTTGACGGAACGCGACGCACTCGTGTCAACGCAAGGATAACGTGAAAAATGAATAGTATGAATCTAATCGTTCCGACGAAATCATATTTTTCATTCAGTCTGAATATATATATATATATATATATATATATATATATATATATTTTCTTTTTAAATTTGCAGTTATATAACGTCAATTATTTATCATTTATTTTCAATAATTAATTTTTTACACAAGTACTTGTAATAACATTTTTACGTATTTCTTAAAACTTCTCTCTGAATTATATCAATTCTATATTCAATATTTTATTCAATCGTAATATTCGATATTTCATTGAATAATTATATTCAATGTTTCATGATCATTTTAGTATCTCAATCTTTTTTTATAAAAAGAAAGAAAGAAAAAAAAAAAAAAAAAGAAAAAAAAACAAAGGAGAAAATAAAAAGGAACGAGATTAATCGAAAGACACGATTCTTCCCAAAATCGTTTCCTCCCGTGCCACGACGTTATTAGCTCTGCTATCATTAGTAGAATCCGGCAAACCATAAGACTTGGTTGTTCGAAGACACGCTTTGCTTATACTCTTTCAATTTCTCTATCTCTCTATCTCTTTCTATCTCTATCTCTATCTTTCATTCTTTCTTTCTGAAAAAGGAAAGATAGAGAACAAGAAAGAAAAAGAGAGAGAGAGAGAGAGAGATGGAAAGAGAGAAACTACAGAATCGTATTCGGTGCGGGTTTGCGCGCTCGTAAAAGCAGCGGATGCCAACTATAAAATAATACAAGCGCCGGTTGGCTTTTAAGATAGTTACCTCGGGGCCCTTTAGTGGCCATTAATTTTCTCGTGCCGGTATTCGCAAGATATTATTGTATCACTGTATCACTGTACCTTAGACTCTCTGTACGACGTTTAGTCACTTTCTCCTCCGTGCTCTAGTCGACACGGGCCGTCGTCGAGCCGTCGCGATTGGTAACGAGTGCGTCGTCTTATCGTCGCGTAAATCGGATGCGATAGCGATCGATAGAAAATGCAAGATTTCCGTAAACGGAAAGCGCCGTAAACCGGCAAACGAATTTTTCACTCTTATCATTTAGTATTCATTTTTCTTTTCTTTTCTTTCTTTTTTGTTTCCCCTTTGACTTTTTTTTTTCACCCCTTTGAATAAAATCGATACTTCAAAATAACTATACTTAACGTTTTTTTTTCTATACGTAGAGATTGTTCTACGACTATAAATTGTCTATACACATGTATATACACGTATATATATATATACACGTATTGCATAAATTTGAAAGACTTGTAACTATTTTATAAAAGTAATACAAATGTTATTAATATTATTATTATTATTATTATTATTATTATTATTATTATTATTATTATTATTATTATTATTATTATTATTATTATTATTATTATTATTATTATTATTATTATTATTATTATTATTATTATTATTATTATTATTATTATTATTATTATTATTATTATTATTATTATTATTATTATAATTATTATTATTATTATTATCTACATAACTGTAAAATCTAATAAATACGTGTAAGAGAAATTTATAAAAGAGAGTAGTGTACTGGTAAATAGATAAATACTTACATAAAACGCGATTTAGAATTTTTAATAAACGTTATTCCATCTATTCCTAAGGTAATCTAATCTCGTACGAAAGTTGAACGGGCGGTTTAACATAAAAGATAACTTATGTCGTGTGTCGTTTATGTAATATATAAATATATATATATATATATACATCTCTCTTTCTTTCTCCCTCTCTTTCTCTCTCTCTCTCTCTTTTCTTTTCCGTAAAAAGGGAAAGCTAAGAGTCCCGTAATATCGGGACTGTTCAGCAAGCTTAGTCTTTACACTATGCGTAACGTGCGTTACAAATATATACACACACAGTCATATGCATATGTATATGTTTCTATATATATATATATATATATATATATATATATATATATATATATATATATTTCGTTAGTCTCTATTCCGTAACCGCAATATGTAATATATTACGTATTCTCGATACTGTTCTTGGACAAAAGCTATTATGCAAAATCGACGGAGGTTCTTTTTCTTTTTTTTTCTTTTCCTTACGAAATAATAGAAAAATGTTATTTTAAAAAATGGAGAAGCAATTTGACGATATTCGTCATTATCTTATCTCGAGATAATACGATCATCTCTTCCTTCTTCAGTCGAAGACTGAAAAATAACGCGAACAACGGTATTTGCCTTTCGCTCTCAAGGTCAAACTAACGTGCACCGTTTCGATCCAGTCAATTGATTAAGAAAAGTTATGGTTGTACGTACGATAACACGTATACACGTACGTACGTTAATAAAGTAGTCGATCGACGATATTATTCGAGTTATTAATGATTATGCAAAACATATATACTCAGGCAGGTAGACAGGCACGCACGCATACACGCACACACGCGTACACGTTCGTACATCCTTCGTTAACATATTATAGAAAAGGAAGAAGAGAGAGGGATGGATGAAAAAAAAAAAAAATAAAAAATAAAAAAAAAAGAGAAAAAGAATTAAAGAGAGATAGATTTTGATCGTTCAATTAAATAATTCACGCTGTTAGTTTCAGCGGGAGGCAGCGCTTTATTATTGATTAGGGTGTTATCGATTCCGAGGAGAACTTGAGCTTTTAAACGGTTAGATGTGAGTTAGGCAGAGTATTCGCCAGGAGCAAATTATTAGGTCGCTTGCTGTTGCTTGATCTATCGAAATTACAATGGACACTATTGTCTCTGTGTTTCGTTTATGTCTTTCTTCTTTTTCTTCTTCTTTCTTCTTCTTCTTCTTCTTCTTCTTCTTCTTCTACTTCTTTTAATTCAAAATATATGACATTTAGAATCAAAATACTGTCACAATTATTCCTACGTTTAATTTTACTAATTTAAACAAAAACAGAAAGAAAAAAAAAAGAGGAGAGAAGAAAAATCCACCATTAGACAAAAATCCATCATTCTTATCTTTCGAGATAATGCATGTATAAATGAATAATAAATAATTAATGAAATAAATCGAAATAGATAAGTGTGTCGAGGGTGAAGAAAACGCAAGGATATTTTCGAGAAGACAAGGAGTTAGAGACGAATGGAATTTCGCGAGTTTCGTTTTCCAAGAATCGTACGTGTCCCGAGAAAAATTTCAACTAAAGGAAAGAGTGACAGAGAGGAAGAAAGAGAGAGAGAGAGAGGGGGGAAAGAGAGAGAGAGAGAGAGAGAGAGAGAGAGAGAAAAGAGAGTGCAACAGGTCGCAGACGTCGTCGCAAAGTTAGCAGAACGTCGCAAATAATTTTCACAATCTGGGATCGCTCTAAGGGCTGGTCCATAATTTTTTTTCTGGAACACAAGACCGTTGCTGTGCGGCAATCATTTTCGAAATCTCTCTTTTTTTTCTTTCTCTTTCTGTTTTTTTTTCTTTTTTTCTTTTTTTTTCTTCAAGAGTCTCCGACGTAGACGAGAAAGAAACGAGCTTTGCATTACATTCTTCTCGCGTATGTATGTATATGTATTCATATGAGCACCTTACCAAGGGAAACCGTCGGGTTCGTCTCGTCGGAAAAAATGAAACAACGTCGTTCTATCTCTCTCCCTCCTTCTCTCTCTCTCTCTCTCTCTCTCTTTCGTTAGTTTTAAATTTATTATCATTTGATTCGAAAGGCTTATTCCACGTAGCGTTCAGACGATTTTTATTTGATAAAATTTAACTCGTTAAGTGACCATATTTTTCTATTTCTTTTTATCAATTTATGTTGATCTTTGATTGATATGTAACTAATGTTACAATGAAATAATTCGTAAAGTTTGATATGTATAATAAATATATCTATAATATTCGATGTCAATAAATCTAACATATATATATATATATATATATATATATATATATATATATAATATAATAAATTTAATAATTGTACAGATATGTGTCAATGTATAGATATATATCAATAATTATACAGACTATTTTTAATCAAGAAATCAAGAAAATATTATTTACCAATTAACATTATAATTAATAAATAAAAAAAAAAATGCGAATAACACGAGAAACCTGTAAATCTACCTTTGTCATTTTTTATCACTGAAGAAGAAGAAGAAGAAGAAGAAGAAGAAGAAGAAGAAGAAGAAGAAGAAGAAGAAGAAGAAGAAGAAGAAAATTGGACAATTAATTCGTAAAATCAAGCAGAGCTTAATCGACCGATCTCAACTCCTCGCGAAAGCTCTTTCTTGCGTTCTTTCCATCTTGTTTTTATGGCGCGAATGCCTAAACTCACCGATCCTCTTGACGTGGACGTCTCGATTGAAGGAGACGCTTCTCTCGGCGGGCTTCCACCCAGAGACGGAAGCCCCGGTCGTTACGGGGGGTAGTAAATGGGTGCTGGAAGGGTCGTAGGCCTCTCCCTTTCTCAAAGAGTCCGAGCGCTGAACCTCGAGCATCTTCGCACCTTTATGCTCCCGATCATAACACACAGCTGGATAGCACTTTCCCGTTTTCGCTTTCTTTCTCTCACCCTTTTTCTTTTTTATTCTCTCTCTCTCTCCCTCTTCCTCTCTCTGTCTCTCTCTCTCTCTATCCCTTTCTCTCTCCCTCCCTCCCTCTCTCTCTCTCTCTCTCACTGCCTTACTCTTTCTATACCCTGTCTATTTCTATCTCTTTTATTTTCTTTTTTTCTTTTTCCTTTTTTGTCTTTGTTCGTTTGTTTATTTTTTTTTTTCTTTTTTTTTTTTATTACGCAAACCCACCCCTTTTTCTCTAATCCCTTTTTCCGATCACACCTTTAGAGACCCGATCACCAACCTGTAAGCCAAGCAAAGCTGTGCACTTAATATCATCGATCATTCTAATCGAGATTTATGATGAATAATTTTCTTTTGATTTAATGACGACGTGACACTTATATGTTCGTATATGTGCATGTGTATGTATATATGCGTGTATGTGTGTGTATGTGTGTGTGTGTGTGTGTGTGTTTGTGTGTATATGCATTTCCTTATAAGTATAGGTTATACACATATATCCTTACTTTCGTCTCAATGAAAATTTTCTATCGAAAGAAATAAGAAGTTCGTAAAAGCGTGTGTGTGTGTATGTGTGTATACGCGCGCACGTCTATATGTTTACGAGTGCGTGTGCGTACGTGCGTTAAAGGGGGCATTTAGTCTTAATCGAGTTGAGATGAATACGATCGATCGAATTCGTTATAACTCGAAAAGGATCGGTGCAATTGCTCGCTAAGCATAACTACGACGATGATGTCACGTAATAGACAATTATCTTTTCCTAAAGATATTTTCCAACTCGATATCATTAAAATCCATTTAATTATCCTATGTTAATACGAACGAGAAAATAAAAAAAAAAATGATATCGATTATCTTCTCTGTCGTACTATCCCGATGTCTATTAAATAACGATATATAGATACTCTGAGAAATTTATATTCCTTATTGTCCTTTTCTTTTTTTCCTTTTACGATCTTTTTTTTTTCCCCCAATATTCCATATAGCGGATATTAATTAAACATGTCGATAACGAATGAATTATCATTCGTATGATCACTGATAAACGAAGAAAGAAAAAGAGTCGTAGGCAAGATAAAAAAAAAAAAAGAGAGAAAAGGAAAAGAAATAATAAAAAAAAAAAAAAAAAAAAAGAAAAAAAAGAAAAAAAAAGAGAGAAAAGAACCAAAGTCTTGTCCGAAAATAGGGACAAATTTTATAATCCTCGATAGATCTCAAGGTCATCCTTTGCTTGACCACAAGATAGAAGAATACAAACCATGACTCAACGACTTTATCAGTTCCAACACGCAAAGGACGCTACTTTTAAATGAGACAATTCGCATGAGGGCCATTCACGATCGGAGGATTAAGATACTCCTGCCGGACCTCTTGGTAGCCATATTTGGCGAAGAGGTTCGCGAGGGCGGCCCCCGTCCTTCGCCCTCTTTCTCCTTCTTTTTTATCCTCCTCCTCCTCCTCTTCCTCCTCCTCCTCCTCCTCCTCCTCCTCCTCCTCTTCCTCGACGTCCTCGTTGTCTCGTCGTCTGTTCCGTGCCATAAAAGTGCCACCAGGAAATTGCTTATCGCTTCTTTTCTCTCTCTCTCTCTCTCTCTCTCTCTCTCTTCTTTTTTCGAATCGAGCAATCATTATTTTCTTTTCTCCTTGAATTTTGTTTATCGAATTTTTGCATTTTATTGTTAATCGTTATAATAATTGAAAGATTTTATATAGTAATGAATATCGTCGCGATAAAGTATAATGATTATATACAAAATTCTTTTAAAATGTTCTCTCTCTCTCTCACTCTCTTTCTCTCTCTTTTTATTTCTCTCTCGCTCTCTCTCTCTCTCTCTCTCTCTCTCTCTCTCTCTGTGTTTGTCTGTCTTTCTCTTTTTCTTTCTTTTTAACTTTTCGGATAAAACTATTTTCATGATATTTTCCGCGTATTTTCTTTCTTCTATATCGACTCATAAAACTCAAGGAAAATATACTTCGTCGTACGCGTTTTACGCGTGAATCGTACGAAAAAAATGCAAGAGAGATCGAGTAATATGTCAGCGTAATGTACGTTGCGATTATCTAACGTTTCGCCTCAAGGACACTGATGTAATAAACAGTCACGTTTCTCGTGCACATGTTTAGCACCTTTTTCCATCGACTTTATTACACTATGTATATACGCACGCGCAGAGAGAGAGAGAGAGAGAAAAAGAGAGAGAGAGAGAGAGAGAGAACTTGCGACAACGACAACGGTGACTACGACGATAGAAATCAAAGGTGACCGCATACAAATATTATCCTCGTAAATGTTTTCGGAGAAGGAGAATCATGTTAAAGGAGAGAGAAAAAAAAGAGAGGGCAATGAGGATTTAATGAAAGGCAACAAAAGAAGACAAAATAAAAAATGACGAAATTATAGATTTCTCGAGGACTCGTTTTTAAAATCATCTATTTTTTTCTCTCTCTCTCTCTCTCTCTCTCTCCATTTATCTATCTATCTATCTATCTATCTCTTTCTCAGACACACAGGCACAAACACGTACACACACTTTTTCATTCGCTTTTTTTCGATTGCAAGATGAAATTAATGGGACTTG